ACATCTACGCCCATTACCCCAGTCACTGAATGAATCTATCTCATCGAGAGTCTTACTCTCTCTTATGCTATCCCTCCACCCTCCCAAGCATGACATCCATCTCCAAGGACTGGTCCCTCCAAAGTAACATGCTATATGTCAGATGAAGCTTCAGAATCCTTGCCTCCAAGGAAAAGCCTGGTTTAACCCTCCCAAGGATGAAGCTGTTCATTCTCTTAGCAGTTTATGGTATATTCAACACTTCTCCAGCACCACAACTCAAAGGTATCAATTCTCCTCCTATTATCCTTAGTCATTGAACAGTTCTCTGACTCATAGCAAGTGATTACAAAGACCATGGCCTGTATTACGTACACCTTAGTCTCCAGACTGACATCATTGCTCCTCAGTACTTGAGAAAGGTCTCTGACAGCAGACTTTCCCAACGCAATACATCTTTTAATTTCCCGGCTGCTGGTGCCAAGAATTTTGTTTGTGGAGCCAAGCAAACGAAAGCTGTTTACAGTCTCAATGTCTTCACCATCCTTCACGATGCTGCCAGTCAGACCGGTGGTGAGATTCTTTGTTTTCTTAATGTTGAGCTTCAATCCATATTGAAGGATGCAGTCCTATATCTTCTGAAGCAAGCACTTCAGGTCCTCCTCAGTTTCAGCAAGCAGGGTTGTGTCATCTGCATAATATGGATCTTCCACCAATCCTGATGCCACATTTCTCCTCATAGAGCCCAGCCTCTCAGATAATCTGTTCTGCATATAGATTGAGAAGGTATGGAGATAAGACACATCCCTGGCGTACATCCTTCCCAATTTTGAACCATCCAGTGTTTACTTTCTCAGTTCTAATTGTTGCCTCCTGGTCCTTGTGTTCAATAGAACACACTTACACTAGCAGATAGGGTAACTGAAGTGGAGCCCTCAAGTATGGAAACACAAAGAAGGAACAATTGTAAGCAGACACTAATAATTGGAACATGGAATGTGAGAACCATGAATGTAGGAAAATTAGATATTGTTAAGGAAGAAATGGAATGCGTAAGTATTCACATACTAGGTATTGGCAAGATGAGATGGACTAGCATGGGACATTTTGAGTCAGGGTATCATATGATCTACTATGCTGGAGAGATGAGGAGAAAATGGGGATGCATTCATAGTTAAAAAAATCATTTCTAGATCTGCCTTGAAATACAATATTGTGAGTGACAGGATAATATCCATATGCATACAAGGAAATCCAGCGAATACCACTATCATTCAGATATATGCACCAATAACCAGAGCCGAAGAAGAAGAAATAGAAGATTTTTACGAACTTTTGCAGTCAGAGATCTATCAAATATGCAATCAAGCTACATTAATAATAAAGGGTTTTAAATTAGGCAGTTTTTAAATATATCTCCAGGAGTTGACAGCATACCAATTGATTTATTTCAACAAATAGACACTGTTCTGGATGTGTTCACTAAGTTACGCCAAGAAATCTGGGGGACAGCCAGCTGGCCAACTGACTGGAAAAGATCAATAGTTGTTCCCATTCCGAAGAAAGGTGACCCAACAGAGTGTGGAAATTATCAAACAATATCATTAATATCACATGCAAACAAGATTCTGCTGAAAATTATCCAAAGACATTTGGAGCAATATGTCAAAAGAGGACTGCCAGATGTGCAGGCTGGATTTAGAAGAGGTCATGGTACTAGGGATATTAAAGCTAATGTTAGATGGATCTTGGCGGAAAGCA